TTTATTGTTTGTAAAATTGTGATTAATACGTAACTATAACACTAAATTTTGAATGATGGATAATATTGAATGAAGAGTTCCAGCAGATTATCTCACAATGTATCATAACCCTCTGAAGAGGAAATTTGCTCCTAAACCACCTAAAGTAAGTGTTTAACTAAGGTATTTTCTTTAGCACTTTATAATGATAATAAAAATAATAATAATGTATGCAAATTTTTCATCCATCAGCACCACTTTTCTCAAAAATGTGTGTGTGCGTGGAGGAGGAAGGGGTGGGGGTGGGGGTGAGAACTAGATTATATTAATAAATTAACAAAAGTTTTTGAGCTTAAAATACTAACAGACCAACAGTTCATAATAGACCGACAGTTCATAATTGACCGCAAGAATGAAAATTAGAAGTGTTTTCAATTTATCCAACAAGTGTGAAGGGTCCTTAATGGATTAAGTATTGAAAATAATTGTTTTGATCTGTGTAAGTTGGTTGACATTGTCAAATCAAAAAGGGGATACAAGGGCAATAACTGTATTTTAAAGAAGAAAGTTTAATATTGCAGGACATAGTTTATTTTCTAAATGAAAACAAAAAGTAACATAATTGTAAAAAGATTGCCATGTCTTCACCATCAATGTTGGAATTGCCTTTGAAATTCAAAGGTCAAAACTTTGTTGTGTGCTTATACCTTGGTTACATAATGGATTGTCAGAACAAATGGTAGATTGTTATACCTGCAGTGTCTATGGGTGTGTCAGGTGCAGCACAAAGGTCAAGGTTGGAGGTAAAGTCTATAAATGTTGTATTGTTGGAGCGTGGATATCCTATGGACACATTTCGAGGTTGTTTTTTTAATGATCAATATAATGCGGTTTCCATCGGTGCAGTTATAGAAAAATTGAATAATTTGTGTCCTTATTGAAAAAAAAAAACCTGCGGGGAGTTGTCATTTAATGACGACAGTTTGCTAAGAGGTTTGTTAAGATCTACTTTTCTTGAATACTGTGTTAGAAATTTCAACACTTGTACTTGTCAAGTGTCCCGAGATAGGTAAAGTAGATAGGAGAGATAACTCTTGTGGTGTTAATGGGTGTGACCATGTTTTTAAAGAAAATTAAGGAAACTGCTTAAAGTTTACATTCTTCCAAAGCAGTTTCCATTACAGTGGATTAAATTGAAATTTTCTGTGATTTGTTGTAAGTAAGTAAAGTCCAGTCAAGTGAAATCTTTATTTACTGAGGCTACACATTTGGTTACCCAATCTTCCGTGTGGGTCTCAAAAATTGATGACACCCAGTTTGATTTTTTGATAAAATTATTGCCCTTTAATTCTTGCCAGATTTCCGTAAAACCCTGTCAGTGTGCTAGATTATCAATCTTCTACACATTCTTATTTTTGTAATAATTCTTCAACTTTACAATTATTCATGACATGTCAAGAATGCATAATTAGATTGTACTCTGTCCACAATAAATGATAGTCAAGTACTTCACTTGAAATTAAAGCCCATTTTGACACATGAGATATAGTTATAATTCATATGAATCATTTTAAGATCGGTTAATGTTCATATTATCATATAGATCACAAAAAAGATAACTGCTGTTTTTAAGTTTAGGAAATATGAGGTCCTTCTGAGACAATTTTGTATGTTTCTCAAAAGAATGAACTCTGTCCATTAGATTTGTAATCCAGCTAGCAGTTGCTAGTTTGAAGTTCGAGTTGAAATTTCTACATGACAATCATCACAAATGATCTTGGACATAGGTTCTAATGATCATTTGAGCCGTGTCATGACAAAACCAACATAGTGCGTTTGCGACCAGCGTAGCTCCAGAACAGTCTGCGCATCCGTGCAGTCTTGCGCATCCGCGCAGTCTGATCAGGAGATTCATGCTGTTCATTTACCAACTCTTTTACAAGTAGAGAAACTGATAGCGAACAGCATGGATCCTGATCAGACTGTGCGGATGTGCAGGCTGGTCTGGATCCATGCTGGTCGCAAACAAACTATGTTGGTTTTGTCGTGACGAGGCTCAATTTTGTCTCTCATTGCTGATTTAGATATCATGTGGGACAAGGAGTCATTCACTTGTGGAGAAATTAGTAATCATTGGTTATAGTTATCCAGTAAAGTCTGTTTGATGGACAGATCTGATGTCTGAGATATTACAACATATATGAAAATTGGTATAAAAATCAAGACAAAATAATGAAATAATAATGGAAAAACGGGTTATTTTATATTTTAACCTGCCAATTATGTAGGTTATTAACCTGAACTTAAATCTTTGAGTGTTATAAAGTATAATGACTGAAGTTACTGCCAGCCCAGTGAATTCTGCAGATCTTTGCAGGCTATTAAACAAGATTTCATTATCATAGATACAGTGCACATGCAATTATATTTATAATTTAACATTTTCGAAAATAATGTTCCACAAAAACTTGGCTTCAGAAATGACAAACATTATGAGAAAGAACTTGGGAAAATGTTCCCTAACATGATAATTACCTCTTAAAAAAACACTTTAATGGTTGATATCCTTACAATGTGTCAATTGCTACATTTTTCGTAGCGAATACTTAAGTAAAAAATGTATATTCTCTTGTTTGAAAATAGACAAGATCTAAAGGGAAATAATAGCAAACTGCAATTCATTTGTTTCTTTTGAAAGCAGATGTTTGAAATTTGTCCATACATTGAAAATGTGAAAAGAAATTGAGTTTAGCCTGATTTTTTAATTACACGACTTTTGAACTTTTAAGATTCATCTTTGTATTTTGAGTATCGAGTATTGAATGTTTATTCATCGATAATGTAACTACTTCAAAGGCGATAGAGACTAGCAGTTTGTATAATCTAAATAGGTTTTTTTACGTATAAAAAACCACTTGTGACTTATTTTACTTACATATTGTGACAACCGGAATACGTTTCTTTGTATTTTCGTAATAAAAGTTTTTAACTTTATTATACATAGAGATGATGTTAGCAAAATAAAAGTGTTTGAAAAGTGACGTGTTTATGAGATAGTTTGAAAAAGAAATTATAAAGAAAGGAGATACTATGCTGTTTTTGTATTTTGGATATTAAAAGTGGGAAAGTTACATTTTTGAGAAAGATTCGCTTCAGCAAGCTTATGTAATGTGCGTATAATGATACAGCATTATGATACCATTTAGAAGGCGAAATACCTACTCGGTATATGAAGCAGCTAAGGTATGGTAATTTAAGAACGTAAAAAAGTAGATAGCAATTTTTTTTATCAAACTGGGTAACTTTATTCTTTAATATACATGTATTATGAAGATTTATGACAGAGTAAGATTTAGTGCTGTGGTACTAAGTGCTCTCGTTTATCTTGCTATAGACCTCAAGGATAAAATTAAAGAAAAGTGACAATTAAGTGAATGCACTTTGGCCATACAAGGGAGATAAGGCCAACACTTTGGTCTGAACAAGGGAGATAATGCATTGAAGTTAATATGTTCTTCAGACATGTTTAAATAAGGGATATAATTGTAGTCTGCAGTTTGGTCTTGAAAAGGGAGGTAATGCATTAAGGTGACATTATGCTCATGTTAGTTTAATTGTCAAGTTGAGCTGAATTAACTATATATTTCAAAAGATTGACTGTTATGATAGTGATTTGCCAACATTTGATATTGGAAAATGTTTAATCTGCCTGAAAGTCTGCCCCACTCTTTTTATAAATTTACCCTACAGGTAAATTCCATTGGATATTTACAGACATTTCTCTGGGCCACTTAAGTTTTTTATCAGGCTACTTAAGTTGTTAATCTTAATCATTCAAGTAAAGTAAATTATCTGAACAGGGATGATAATTAAAATATGGACAGGGGAGATAAAGCATTGAGTGATAATAGAGATATGTGCTTTGATTTGAACAAGGGAAGTAATTGAGGTATGATCTTTGGTTTCAACAAGGGAGGTAATATAGGTTTGAACTTTAGATTGGACAAGGGAGGTAATTGATGTTTTCCATTTTATTTTTTTTGAAAAAAAAAGATAAAAAAAAAAGATAGAAAAAGGTCTTTGTTAGTGTTGTAGCTATTTTGTGTTGCTACACAAAGTTTAACTTGTCAGGTGAGCATAGCAAGTCTGTCTTGGCCCTCTTGTGATTTTTTTTTATTAGAAATATCTGTGATTTGAAAGGGAAGGAATTTAGGCATGTTCATAATTGTCAGCTGTTTTGAGTGCTTGCAGATAAGATTATTATTTTTAGATAAAGTTCATGTTTAAATAAATTCAAAACAGAATGTAGACAGCATATCAAACCCTCTTCAATATATTTTTATCAAAACTAAGGCCCGATTTTATTAGCTGAGAGAAAAATGAAATGTAAATAAGAGATAAAAAGTTTTGGCAAATGGGAAAGGATGTCGTGTTGTTTTTATACCTGAGATTTGGTTGTTTTCAGGTGTTAATTATAGCCGCTTATTCTTGTCGGTTTGTTTAAGCTTTTCTTATCCCATACTGCTTCTTTTTCCCCGTTTGTGTGATATTTGTTAAGTGCGTCTTAATAAGTGATAAATATAGGCATAGGATATAGAAAAACTTGTGTACATGCTGTCTTAAACAAACATTGGTTTGGTTTAATTTCTTATATAGATTTAAGTGGAGTGGATGAAGCTATCAGGGTTTATAAGTATATGAGAAGAATAAATACTACATTAAGATAAAATGAGATTGAAAATTTAAGAGTTTGAAAGATATATATGTTTGCATTTTAAATTAGACAACATGAACATTTGATAGATAATTTAAGACATTTTATCGTTGCAGTAAAGGTTTTTGAATTCAGATGCGTTTAATTTTGACATTTATTTCGGGATTTAAATGTTACAGATACATTACTGTTTTAAACTTATTTGTAACTTAATATAGACAAAAACTAGGTCACATAACATTGAGGGACATAGAAAAGAAAAAAAAGAATTGGATGTATTTTGATTTAATTGATTGCTTATCAGATTTTTTTCTGATTGACGTTTATTTAATCGGTTTACGAGGGATTAATCCATTGACTTTTATATGCTGTTTATGTTTATGGTGTCATAATATAGGTTTTAAAATTTCAAAAACAGCTTTTGATAAGATAGTGTATAGAAATATATGTATAAGATATGAATAGACCTTGAAATAGGAGAAATGTTGGTGAAAATTTTCAAAGTGATAGAGTGATGTTATATATATCTATATATTTGAAGTGTCTTATGATTGATTTGTGGGCATACCACAGGATAATGAGTTGTTTATATATAAAAAAGTATAAAGTTTACTTTCTGGGAAAATATTTATAGAAAATTGAGTGTCGACAATGTTATAAGTGTTTGGCGTTTTATTTCAAAGGCATGATTGTTTGTAATATTATATGAATGGTTTTAACTTTTTGTGAGAGCAACTATTACTACTACGTGTGATAAAAACATGAACTGGTTACTGGTTATATGAACAAGTTTTATGTTTCTTTTTATTCTGGTGTTTCAGCATTGTTTTGTGAGTTCTTACGTCGTCAAGGTGGAAAGTAGGTCGCTCATTCTTTTTTTGAAGCTGTTTGATTTAAAATGTGCTTAGTGTATGAAGTTATCATCTCAGAACAATGATTTTCATTTCACGGACATTTTATATCAATTTGTGCAAAAATCATACTTGAATGGAATATAAAAAAAGTATGTACGTATAAAAGAGAAGAAACTGTAAAATGTCACTGTCTAGAAAAACTGGCCGAGTTTGGTATCGTCTTACTTCTTCATTAAGAGAAACTGAGAAAGATTCCTTACGTCACTCAATGACAGATATAGAGAATATTTTCACGCAAGGAACTTATAAGAAACGCAGACAGTGGCTTGTCGAGGTAAGATTGATGAGTTATATATGAGCCTCGTCATGACAAAACCAACATAGTGGGTTTGCGACCAGCATAGATCCGTTGTCAGTTTCTCCACTTGTAATAGAGTTGGTAAGCGAACAGCATGGATCCTGATCAGACTGCGCGGATGAGCAGGCTGGTCTGGATCCATGCTGGTCGCAAACCCACTTTGTTGGTTTTGTCGTGACGCGGCTCATATATATAATAACAATTCATATAAAAGAAACGCAAAGAAGTAGATGAGCATTTCATGTTTTTAGCTTGACTATCATATTTCAAGAATAATTAGAAGTATTAACAGTATTATTCTGTTAGATGTCTACGTCCTAGACTTCCAGTCCATGTCATTGACATGTAAAGTTGTTTTCTTTTGTATCGCTCAACTAACCCATTGAGAGATTTAACTTATTTCAATGTCTATGAGAAAATGTCAATTGTAGGGAAGAGTGCATGTGGTAATTTTATAGAACTATGCCCGTATAATGTTTGACTAAGAATTATGGTTAAAGTTTTTGTTCTGCCTGACTTTTTCAGTCAACTCTGATGCATTGCTTTGAATTTTGGATTACTTAATGACCATCATCTTATCTTGTAAACAAGAGAACAAACCCCTTTAAGATGTTGATCTGAAACCTGGGTAACATTACATTCACATCATTACAATGTCTGTTATGGATTTAATATAATTATGCTTTTTTCAATGATAATTCAACTTTTCAGACATATACTTTTATAAGAGACGTAATGGTTGAGAAGCACATGAAAAGATTAATTTCACTTCATTGTTGGCAACTTGAATTTGTCCAATTTTTTCTTTGTGCTTTATAAATTACTTGAATTTTAAGCTGAAGGTCCATAATTGGGTTCTTGAGATGTTTATGTTATCAAAGGGCCAGAACTGTGTACTTATATAATGTTTGGGAAGCTATAGGTGAATATAAGGGCAATAACCATGTTCTTATATGGGAAAGAAATATAGTTAACAGAATATAAGGGCTGTAACTGTGCTCTTATATGGGAAAGTGATACAGTTAGCAGAATATAAGGTTGATAACTGGGTTTTTATATAAGAAATTGACATGGTAAGCAGAATATAAGGGTAATAAATGTGTTCTTATATGGGAAAGAAGTATAGTTAGCAGAATATAATGGCATTAGCAATAACATTTGTGTTATTATATGGGAGAGAAATATTAAGTTAGTAGAATAGTCTGAGGGGCAATAACTGTTCATATATGGGAAAGTGAATATAGTTGGCAGAGTATAAGGGCAATAACTGCTACATGTGTTATTCAATATGGGAGAGAAATAAAGTTAGCAGAATAGTCTGAGGGGCAATAACTGTTCTTTAATGGGAATGTAATATTGTTAGCAGAATATAAGGGCAATAACTGTTTTTATGGGAAAACGATACAGTTAGCAGAAAAGTAGGGCCGTAAGTATAATGTCCTAGCATAATTCTATATAAATATGCACAATATTATGATAGTCAAATACTGTACAAGTAAATGTTTGCCATGTTTTGTGTTTATATTATGCAGATTTTGCATTTAAAAAATACAAGTGATATATATTTTTGTTCGGATAAATATATATATATTTCATTCAATTTCTTTTATTGTGTAAGTGGTCTTTAACCACAAATGAAATAACAAATCTTTAGTGATTGAGAACATTACTTTAAATATTGACATTGTCCCCATGACTTCCTTTATGAGCCAATTTAAATATTTTCTTTTTTATCTTTGACAGTAAAGTGTACTTTGTAAGAATGTAAAAGACTTTTCAATAGACATCGTAAATGGCTTAACAAGTCAAATAAATCAAGTGTGATTGAAAACTGTAAGAAGTAAACATAGTTTTCCGAAGAAGAAAAAAAAAACCCTTTTCCTGATTCATAGCAACAGTTAAGTACATGATGGAGGAATAATAAGAATTATTTAATCAGATAATGCAAATTTTATTTACAGTAATTGTGAAATTGTATAAATTTTATTAGGGAATCCACAGGTTAAATTTGATATGCTCAGATATCAATTTATGACAGTCTTGAAGAAATGTATTTTGTTATGGTAAAATGCATTTGTGCATGGATATGTGTGTGTACACATTTGTACATGGGGCTTTAAATATTCTTAACAAATAGTATATTACAATTTAAAAAGTAGGCACAGTTTTTTCCATTACTTGTTAAATACAGTTTTAAGCATACATTCTGGCTTATGACACCATTATCTCTCTGGAATTCATCTCTTGGAGACCTTGGTGGCAGAGTTGTTAAGCCTGCCACAGAGCTATATTCTGTTACACAAGTGTCAGAAGTTGCTGATTTTGAACCCTTTTTCTCTATGGGTCCAAACCCAGGCTGCCAGAGACTTTGCTAGTTGAGTTCAGTGGTTCAAATAGTTTGCTTGTGCCTGAAATATAACTATACTTAATATATCCAGCAGTTATTTATTTAATTGTATCCTGAACAGTGTCAGTGTTACTTAAAACTCTCAGTATCTGAAAAGGCGGAGGGGCCCTTATATTAAGCTTAGAACACACACCATCTTACTGGATTTTAATGGAACTTTATGTTAATTGACAATAATTATTATGACAACAGGATAGTACAACTTACCATATCGGGTCTAAAATTTGTATTCTTATGCTTCATAATAAACATTGTAATATAATTATTCTTTGCACAAACACTTAATGTTTCCTTTAAAATGATTCAAACTCATACATTTTGTGGTCATATATATCAAAATTCAGTGACAATATTATGTATTTTATGATTGATTATTCGACATATTGTATAGACAAACGATGGCATGTCATTAGAGGACAGTGATTTGTGAAAAAAATGTTTAAATTTGTGTTGAAGTTGATTTGATTAGGGAATTTTTTTTGTAATAATTGTAAATACATGATAACTATTCAAAATTTTGATGTATTAAATTTAAGTTCCTATCACTGCATCCTACATAAAATGTATAAGGAAAAATATATGTTAATTTTATAACTGCTTGTCAGTAAAAAAAATTGAAAGCTGTAAAGTTAAACAAAAAAAAACTATTAATGTTTTTAAGTGCAATAATTTTCTGTAACTGTGTTAAGTTTAGTGTTTCAATTGGTGCTTGCGGTAAATTTGTTAACGTTTTTCTACATTGTCTGGACTATTTTCCTCCTTTGGCTGTTTCATAACGTGCAAGTGTGAATTGTATAGTTTATTTCCTGTAAGAGAAACCAGAATTATGTTTCCCTCTATATTAATTAGTAAATTTTATTGTAAAATTTCTCAATGTACTGTTACGTAAATGTCTGCATGGTAAATATATAATTTCAAACAAGCAGACTGTTTAATACAGACATGATTTGATATGCAAATAGCGAATAAGATTTAAAAGGCTGTAAAGAAGATGAAATGTGGTAAAATTATCATTCATATTGAACTGATGATGGTAATAGAGACAAAATTATTGTTGCGGAATGAATTTTAGGATGAAATATGAAAGGTGTAACTAATAAGAAATGTTTAAATGTCTACGTGTAAGGTGTAAATTAAAGAAAAAGAATTGTAACTGTCTCGTCATGTATTACGTGTACTGTACTAGACATACGGTGCTTGCACAGATTTCAAAAGAATTAAAAAGTCCCATTCTGAAGGGTTCAAGTGCTTTTAGTATAAGCGACGACCGTCGGATCATTGATGTATCTCTGAATAGATTACGATTTATTCATACTTTGCTTTAAAGGCTTAACATAGTCCTTGAAAAATTGCACAAATATTGTAATTGCAATAACTGGAGCTTAAAGTGTCAATGTTCCCGTACTTAGACGTTGTGTGACAAGAGTTCCCGTAATTGCGTGGATTATACGGTCCCATTATTCAAAAACTTTGGGAGCCTTTTTATCAGCGTGAAAGTAAGAATGATAAGGTGAGAGAAATGTTTGACAGTTGAAAATGTTGAAACGTAGGGGGTCAAAATTTTGGTCGGGTTGTTGCCACTGAAATTCTTGTATTTTAAATTGTTACGTGATGTAGCTTTGTGGTCATGGTGAATTTCATCAAGCAGAAAACGTTCTTATAGTCTTACATCGCCCGCATTGTTATTATTTTATTGTTAAGGGTACAAGATTTCTCTTATTTGTATATATTTGAAATAATGATGTGTAAATTGTGTTACATCCTCTAGGCATAGACAGTTATTATGATGGTTTACATAGATTTTTATTATGATAGCAAAATCTAGTTAGAAAAAGAACAAAACACTTAAGGTTAAACAACTTAACAACAATATCAGAATAAAAAGGACAAAAAAGAACAAATATAATGCACAGTCATATGTAAGGACACATGGTCTTGTATTTTTCCCACTGGTCATATTTCAAACACGATATAGTTAGCCATAGAAATTCTAACCAACTGTTGAGTGTTCAGGAGGCAAGTGTGAGTCTTAGAGAGGTGAATTATAAATATAGCCAACCTGGGTTACGTGTTTGAAATTAATATTTTAAAATAAATTGTCAAACATTTTGTCGATAATTCTTTGGAACAAACATATAACTTTTTATATGCCTGTAAATATTTCAGCCTATAATGTTAAGCATCTGGTTGTCCTTCCATCTGTTAGTAGGTTTCAGCTTTATTGTTTCCCCTCCTCTGCAGTACTCTTGTTAACTATGTGTCAGTTATACTAGAGAATCCCAAACTCCTTTGATTATAAGGTACCTAATTCCCAATTAAGATCAGGGGAATATCTACAATGTATGGTAAAATGATGTTAAAAAGTCTAAGATAATGAAACAGCTATCCAGCTTGAGTAGTCAACTTACCCTCTGTGTGCCATAATGAAGATGGAAAGTTAGGTAGTACCACTGATTGTCTAAAATTCTTCAGCCAGCTAGAAAGCTTCCATACATAGAGGAATACTTCACTGAGAGCCCAGTGAGGTTAACCTTTAATTTGCTAGAGACTCAAAGATCATGATTCCACC